CTAGCCAGAATGCTATTCATCGGTGACTAGCTAGAACTCTACTCACCCATGACTAGCAAGAGTGTTGCTCGCTGGTGACTAGTCAGAATGCTAGAAACTAATGAAAAGTCAGAATGCTTGTGTATCTAACTGGTTACCAGCTATTGAAACACAAAATTTTAAGTTTGTTTCCTGCGAAGCCAAATCTACCATACTAGTCATCGGCAGGCATGGGGAATCAGTCAGATCTCACATTAGTACTAGTAATTGTTGCCTGTGTATCTGGAAATGCAGTTCCTTGATATGCAATAAAATGACAGATTGGAAACATCAGCGAGTCTCTCCTGATCATTATCTCACTCTGAAATACACGATCCAAAGAAAAGTAAAGTTGCCTTGTGGAAGGAGCGAAGTACAACCTGTACGATGTCATTATCTTTCGATAAACAGAATACAAATACAATGTACAGGGTATTCTACTTTATTTCTCTGTAACAAACAGTAAAGACACAAGTCAGTGTCAATATAGATGTACATGTCCATGGACATACCTCATACGTGTAACTCTGGACAACCAAACTCGTTCTTAAATGATTCGTTTCTCCAATATTTCTACATGTCCAAGAGTATCATCAACAATGCCCCAGTATTGTTGGATGTAGCATCTTACAAATGCTGACCTAGGCAAGGAGCACTGACGCAATCCTCTCAATCACGCTGTCATATTGCATAACATTGAGCCTGGCCAAGTCAGCCATGTGCAAGAGGTTAGGTTAGACACATAAACATGCAGCCTGCCATGCTGCCAGGGAGCCTATTCTATCGTCAGCCCACCCCCCCTTTCAGCCCATAGGACACATAAAGCACATTGGAGCTCCCTATGAAAGACCCGGGGACACCAAAACAACAAATACTTGCTCCCCGCTGGGGTTTTTGTTATGACTGCCTATGTGACAACTGGAATGGACTTTTGCAGATTGTCACCATATTTCAGCCAAAAGATTTTTAATTTGAGTTTAAAGGGATGAAAAATATATCTACAAGTTCATATTTCAAGTCCTGTATGTACTCTGTAACATGTGAGGCAGTGGATTTCCTGGACTGAAGACTTAATTCCCACCTGTTATTAGTACTAAATCTAAGTTTTTTAAAAAATAACACTGCAGAATGTGAATTTCATTACTTTTCTAATGGACTTGTGATATTGAAGCACTTTCTATACTTAAGTTAGATGAAGCGAAGTACTCAGTTGCATATTTGGGGATTAACATGACTGCTCCATATAAGTAAGATTTTGGCTATTTTACAATGAGACTTTTCCAATGAGACCTTTCACTCAAGAGGAACATTTCTGCATGGACTTCAAAGGGTTAAACAGCAGAACAGTAGCTTAAAGGTTAAGGAAACCTTCTGTTTATGTGTTTTTGTTGGACGCAATAAAATTGCTCAAAATCTGAAGACAGGTACTTAACCAAACAAGATTTACAATTGTGTTAAATACATGTACAAAGTAGTTCCTGTTTGGAGAAACATGACGAACATTTTTGAGGTCTCATAACTTGATTCAAAAGTTGCTGTGTCCAATTTAAGTACCGGTACATGTACGTGTTTCCATCATTGTAAGCCCTCTTGTGACACAGTAGCATTTGGTTCTATGACTACACCTGTGCAATGTCATGGTGACATGATCTCGGTACTAAAGCAAATGTAACTCCTCCCAATGCGTTTGCTACAGCAATTTACCTTCCCCCTCAATTACAAGCCAGAACAAATAGGACTAACATTTGTGGAAATTTCCAAAAAATATGTCACCCTTTTATCATTTTCTTCAAAATGACTGCACCCCACAACCACAAGGTCTAACTTCACAGGCAGTTAAGAGTCATTACTATGCTTTTTAAAGAATAATTGTGGTTGGTTGGTTTCCTGATGTCTGTTTATGGCACTCAAAGCAAAGTTACAGCCCGGTCAAGCTTTTGTTGATAAAGGAAAATAATTGCAGTCGAACCTCGTTAATAAGAGCACTTATCACAAAGAAAATCTTTGGTCCCAATCCTTTGTTTTCCATTGTTTTCATTGCTGATAATACAAGGTTCCTGTTAGAACAATGTAATTTGCCAAGTCTGAAGGACCTCTTATTAACAAGGTTCGACCATATTCTCAATTGGGATGGGAAAAAGGTTTCAAATGACGTGTAAAGCAAGACATATCATAAGTCACCAAGATTTTTCACGACATACTTGAAACTGATCATTTCTGAATTTTAGGGTTATAAATGTTCAATTCATTCAGCCTTGAGATATAAAGCCAGCTCATGGAACATTGTAATGTTACACACATGAGCAAAAATGAACAGATGGCAAATAATGCTCAGGAATAATGTTAAACAACTACGCATGAGAAAACATTCCCGAGAATTCCACTTCTTCAATTGTATGACACAATATCAAGGAGAATCTTTCATTTCTTCCAATTATAAAAAGGCATCTGTCCCTTCAAACCGGGCCAACCCTTTTTTTTTTCAGTGTACGTGTACACTTACTCCTGCAAGGTAGCTGTGGGGACATACACTCGATATTTCACCTACATCATTTGTGGGGGCCGAAAATGTTGTCGGGACTCAGGAATGTCCTCACAACTCGATTCCAATTTCCCTAGCAAAGGAACTTGAATGTGGTGAATGCCTACTCAGGTATACATGTACTGCAACGTATACGTACATGAATGCATGACATGAAAGTAGAAAACATGTACTGTCAACCGACACCTGAACACTGTGAATGAGTGCACATGTGTTTGGTGAATGAGGGGACACCGGCACTGTTTTTATCAAAATAATACTGTGGGAGTATGGAAAAGTGCAGTCAGCCAGCCAGTCAGTCAGGATAAATAATTACTCTGTTGATGTTAGTTAGATATCTTTGATAAACACTTGTGAACTGTGCAAAGGAGCTTAAAGATACCAATAAAAACAAGACAGAGATAGTGATACTGAAACATAACTTGCTGCTTATACAACGGGTCACAAAAATTTAAGTGCAGAAACAATGGAACCTTTCCAGTGGGCACCATTTCTTTTTCATTTCATTACTGATGTCATCGAGGGGACAATCTGCAGGAAATGTCAAAATAACAGCTCAACGTCTTCAAAGTAATTTTGATCTGCCAAATCCCCTCATGCACATTTGAGATGCAGACACCACTTGAGTGGCTGTACTAAGTAAGTTACCAATGAAATACCGAAATTATGTTTAAAAAAAATCTACATCTCAACCAAATTTTTCCGTCAATTGTCAAGCCCCACTTTGGGGAATCATTCACGGATGTGGACATTTGAGACGCATCATTCGTAATGCCATCTGAATGTGAAATTAAAAACTGGCACCCTCTGTAATAAATCATGACCATGTGATCGTGAATATGACTCCCTGACAATCGATCAATGACCTCTCGCTGTCTTCTCACATTCATGTTCATTTCCCTATAGACCGTGCCACGTGTGCTCCTGACCAGACAGCCGTGATGACATTCGGTGATGTAGAGTACTGTTCCCATGGGTCGTGCATCTCATCACGTGTTGACTTTTTCCGTACCCCACATCCATGATTTATTTGTTTACCAGCCCATATGCCTAACCTTTTGGTGTCTTGGCATAACGCAAGAAAGCTTGGTTACTGTGTTTTTTTTAAGTTCAGTTAAAAGAGGACAACCCTAGACATGAAAGGTTAGCTAAAGAGTCCAATGTGAGGAATGTAAACGTTTCACATGACAATGGGAAAGATTTATGTGAGCATGTTACTTGGGTCAACATAATGATGCCAACCTGAATAAATTCAATAAAAAATTCCTATGACGGACAGGAACAGAGGCTCAGTTAAGTCCTTGCATCTAATGTTGTGTTTTGTTAGTGTCTGTAGAAATATTAAATGGGGCATTTTTGGCAAGAGAAAACACTTTGTTTAAATTATTTGTACTAATCTGCGGACTTACACCTGGTAGTTGTTTAAATACAAAACATGGAAGTCCTTTCACAACAATGAAGGGAAACAGTTATCAATTTTGATACATAAGTTCTTGATGTACTCTGTACAAGTTGTCCTCAGTTATAAAAATACCCAAGATTCTTTAAAAATTTCATTAAAATTTCCATTCATGGGATTCAAAAATCCAAACGTGCCTTAAAAGGTTAATTACACAGTACTTTCAAATAGTTTTTTTCCTACTTCCTTCAAAAATACTGCAAAGTTTGCTGAACTCTTTCCTGTCGAGTGGGACACAGTGAAAAAGCTGAACCTCATCCTCTGTCCCTTTGAACCCACAGCAACTCTCAATTGTCCTTCTCAACCTGCCCTGCCCTACTTCTCTGTCCTTGTGACCCGGTCACTGCCGTCCTAGCTTGTAACCCAACACTTAGTTGGAGAACAAGAGACATAGAAACCACAAAACTTTGCTGGTAGCCTGCTGGGCTTAGATTTCTGGGGGCAACCGCAGATTCTGTTTTTATTTCCTTTTGGTTTGCGTCTGGCTTGGCTGTTTTCAGTAAAATGTAAACAACACCAATATAACATGGGCGAGGCAGTAAAAAATTTAAACAGTTGTAAATCCTTAGGATATTGTCCTGTAATTACCTCTGATTGGTCTCTCAAGGTCATATAAAACTTTTTCTCATCTCCACAACGTGTGTCTTGATTGAAGATCTGCAGTGAAATGTTTTTCCGGCATAGGGATCCCCTGCATTACATGTAACTTGCATTTTCGACCTGACTAAATATAGTAAAATTGAAACTTCAGAGAGTCCTTGACCACTTGGTTGTTCGGAGGATCCAATTTCAGTCATACAATACTACCACTGTTCAACAGACTGAATAAATCACCAGAAAATGAGAGATTTATTGGGCCAAATATTTCTGCATTGTTTTCATGCTTGGAAGTGATTTACTGCGTGATTTTCCCAGCAGCGACTAACCTCCTGCTCAACTCCTTATAAATAACTCCCCCACTGCTAGGACAGGGGGATACTGAGGGTGACTGTGCAATGTATACCACTCGGGGGAGGGGGAACCAGCAATCACACTTTCCAGCAACAAGATAAGATGTCGTTTTATCTAGGCCAGAGCTCTGAAAAATTGTCACGAGACCTCCATACTTCCTTTCAGATCCAACACACTTCTTCCTTTGGTTTGAAAACTGTATCTTACTACTGTCCGCATTTGAGCGCATCAAATGAAGTCAGCAACATCCCCCCCCAAAAATGAACTCACAAATAAAACACAGATGTCTACAAGTATTTCTAAGAATTATGCTTTTCAAAAGTAGCTATTTTCGACCACCAAAAATAAAAAAAAACAAATTGGGCTCCACTAAACTAACACTTTTGCTAGAAAACATTTTTGGCAAACTACATTGGTTCAAAGAACTCCACTGCCCCCGGGCATTTTTACTTTCGCTCACCTATTAGTTTAAGTTTGCTGATTCTACAACGCTTTCATAACCAGGTAGAAACAGAAACAAAAAAAAAATTTGTATAGCTCAAGAGAGAAAGAAATAACAAAATTTGAATTTCAGGCTGCATGCACTTTTATGAGAGAGATCATGCCTTAAAATAGATCATTCAGTCAAACTTCTGCTCATAAAATGGAAGGATAGCTTTTTTCTTCCTTTGTTTTTCAGAAAAAGATAAAAGATGATTTCTATACAATAAGGCATCTGCAACTACATCAAAACAAAGCAATAAGTCTGGGTAAAACTGTGCAGTATTTTGCATTTTCAGGAACACTGTAAGCAAAAAAGCCTCATGATGCAATGAACAGGAACGGATGTGAAGTGTCTGGGTAAAGTACACATTGAGTATGGCAACAAAACAGATAAGTACTATTAAATTCAATCATGGTAGCAAGAATGCGTGTGTTTACAGCAAAAAAAAAAAGTGCAAATTGGAGCTCAGTGGGTGTCAGGAAATCAATGTGGACTTGTCTGTGACAACAGGGACAAACTGAAGGCATGTCAAGATGATTTCTGATGACAGGTAAAAGGGCGAGATGATTTGAGGGAGGGACCGAAGCAGGATTACAAAAGATGATATAATTTGTTTACAAAAAAAATGGAATTGTAGTAAATAAGGAGAAATTGAACATGGTGCTGAGATGATCTTGTGGATATTTGATAACAAAACTGGGACAAGAACTACATTCAGATTTGCTATCACTTTGTTCTTGTTTGTTTGTTTGTTTGTTTGTTTTCCCCACCGCTTTCAGCTTGACCAGGCTGGTATTATCCCTGTTATAACCGTGTCCTGCTGTCTCGCCCTTGTAACAATTCGCCAATACGCAAAGCTTATCAGAATCATCCTCCACCTACACAAAAAGAGTAATGGGATGGAGGAAAAATTGGCACAAATGCTAAGATCACCAGCTTCAGTTTCCATTTGATGTGCGTGTATCTTTCAGCAAATAAATTGCTAAAATGACTGGTTTTCGCAACAATCAATAATGTATGAATAACAAAATAATACAGGAAAAGGCAATAAAATGCAAACCGTTGAACACCAAAACTATATCCAAATAATCTTCATTTCATTTTTTTAAAAAAATGACACTGGATTTTTTGGTTACCATCTGTTCAATAATTGCATACATACATGAACTGGTACACGCACTTTGATGTGCGTAGCAAATAGTGAGACTATTCATTAACTTTATAAACCTGCTATCTTTTCTTTCCATGCAGGATGCAAACTAAAATTCCCCAGGAATTCTACCTCAAGCTCAATCTTCTTGGTTAGAAGAAAGGTAACAGCATACTATATCATGTACATGTACGTAATGGCAAGTGATGATTTCAAACCTATTAAGTGTACTAACCAAACGTTTTACAGAATCCCTTATTTTTGTATCGTAAGAAGTTCCTAAGCCCTGGTTTCTGTCTGATAACCTCAAAGGAAATGCTTTAATCATGCCCAATTCCTAATTGGAGTTCTCAGAATATTAGCCAAAATGTTAAAAGGTCAACTGCTTTGAAGCCAGGTCCTGTTGGGTTAACTGACAAAATATCCCCCCCCCCTTGATATCCCTACAAGAAGGAAATGAGAATCGGTTCCTTCTGCAGACCATTAAAGAGGTAACTGCCAGTCGGGAGACTGAATATCTTAATACAGGGCATGTTATCACACCAGTCGGTGACAACTCATGGAGTCAGTTTGTCAATGGGCAAGTCCATAATTTTGTGCACGCTACGTCCTACACATAATGGAAGTTTCACCCCTGAAGATGTTGCCAGACTGCAGGTTTTTCATTCTATTGTTTGGTACCTAGATGGAGAATACCCACAAGACTTAACCCTACCACTCTTTGGGATGATTGAGTAATAAAAGAAATATGGCGTATGGGGCACACAGGCGGCCTTTTTGTGGACTCACCGGTACCCAGGGCATTGCAGATAAGAACCTGCTTTGCAATGACAGCTTAGGAGAACGAAATAATCCTGAGGTTCAAGTCTTTATGCTACAACGCAGAAAATAATTCTGAAATATCATCTGCACTCTACCCGTTCACCTGTTGTATTACAGTGTAAGCAAATTTGGGAAGGACCCCTTGATGTTCAGAGGGGACCTATCTGTGACTGTAACTACTTCTTTGCATCTGTCAATGGCTTTAGGTACAGAAGCAACAATACCATTGCAATGGCTCAAATGAAGCCACAGCCATGAATGCTAGATACTGACATGGCTCACATTAAACAAAAACCACACAAAACCCCAATCCCCCCCCAAAAAAATAGAGAAAAGAAAACCCCAATCTGTCCCCTCTTTATGCCAGTGCAAATTACTAAGGTTGGAGTAGGCCTCCAGATATTCTCATTTTCCATTTCCTTTCTCCAAAGTCAGGTCATTTTTTAAAATTTATTATTTTTATAGTCCCTTATTCCACAGAAAAGAAGTTCAAGTCTACGGTCTTAAAAATAGGCCCAGCAATTGACGCATGGAAATAAATGGCCAATTATGCTCTACACCTGGACAAATAAGATCAATCATGCTGGTGGTTTTTACAGTGGCTTTGAGGCCGGGGTCAAGAGTTCAAACGATGCTAAGCTGAGAGATGGAGCCATTACGGGGAGACCCCATTACCTCCGAACCTCTGACTGTGACTCAGCTCTGCAAAATTGCACTGGCAGAGGCTGAATTTCCGTGGCCTAAAAAAGGAGTTCATATTTCTGTAAATCCAGTTTGGGTTTTCAAGACCACCTGTGGTTTGAATTGTCGTATAAATTACAACAACAGAAGGCACACTGAGAGCGCTCAGACAAAATTCTGGATAATTACACTAACTAGTAGAGGCCCTTCTAACAAACATTCATGTACATTTACTGACACACAGATATGATAGCACTGTCAATTTAAACCTAATCTGTGAGATATGTACTGGTAAAAACTGACTACACAAACAAACAAGGGGAAGATTGTTTCAGTATACTAGATGATTTCCAATCCGTAAGTACAGGCCTGCTCTTAAACCTTAAATACTTCAAAGAACTGACCTTTCCTGAACATTTTTTTTTTCTTAACATGGTCCTTATTTGGGACAAGTCACTCAGTAACACATCTGCGTGCACATACAACCCAGTACAATGTTTCGTCACCAGGCAGACGGGGTGAAATTTACTTGTCAATGGCCAGATAACAGACAGACCAAGCAACAGGGTAAGGCAGGTACCAAGGCTGGCGTTAGATAAATAGACAACGATCCCATGTTACATCAATTAGTCATCAGATGAAGGGTTTCTTTTTCAAACTCTCTTTTCATGAGTGAGTGAAGGCTTTCTGCTCTGGATAGACTACAAGAGCAAGCACTTTCACCATAGGTTCATGTGCAAAGGTTAAATGTCACACGCGTGGGTGGGAGGGAGGCACATACATGTACATGCACCTGCAGAAATGGGCTACTGATTGCGTGGGTTGGGCTGTACCAAACACATGGCATAGAAAGGAAAATGCCACTCAGAGACAGTAACATCTGATGGCGTGCTGCTTTCAACTGCCAACGCAACAATGCCAAACCGTGGCACGTATACCACGTACTAGGCGCCACAGGTACACTGTATGTGCCAAAAGTTGAATTGAAAGCAAGCCATACAAACATGATTTCAATGAGAAGCATGTGAAAATGTGCACAACCAATGGGTGGACAGAAAGAACGACATAACAAGCTGTATCTGCATGAGAAGCTTGTTCCCAGTTCAAAGTTAGCTTACTGTCACCTATTCCCTCACTCACTAATGATTCTTTGATGAGCAAAGAGCTCTGTGCCATTTGGACAATTGGTAAAAAACACACACGTGCACCGACATGCAACTAGTTTGGCAGACTCACGTACCACACTGAAGGCTGGACCGATTGGGTCTGAGGGGAAGGTGTCTACGTGAGCTTGGAGCACTTTGTCCACGATGTCTTCAATCTCAGGGGGAATCGTCTGGCTCTCTGTTACCTCCTGCTTCACCTTTTTCTTCTTATTCCGGTCATTCCTAACACCTGTTGAGGGCAATTAACAGTCCGACTCTTAACATCAAATAGAGTTGATGCAAAAGGGAACATGAGCATGATTCGGTGAAGTCAGACTATATATTTGTGCTCAAAATTCCCAAATACTGAACATGTTTCAATTTAAAGTGAAATTTGTTGCAAACTATTTGTAACATAAAATTTGTCGGAAGTACAAAGCAGCCTTTATAACTGATGGACAAATGCGGCCAAAAACAAAACATCCAAACACGGAGAGGGTCAGCTGCTGTGTTTAGGTGAAATTAAGCATTTTTTATCCCTTAAAGGGATTAGAATAAAGTGCGCATACAACTGCACCTCTGGGGTGTTAGGGTACAGATTTTAGGGTCGGGTGAAACCTACAAGAGTTACATCGAAAGACCACGAGCAGAGTAGTTGCACTGAAGGGGAAAGTTAAGTCATGGAGAGGGGGTAGGTCACGTGAATAAGACAAGAAAGATGAGGGAGGGCAAGGAGAGATAGTCCAAGTGACAAGGCAGGGAGAGGTGGATGGATGGGTCAAGGGTGCCGTCAGGTTGGATCAGGGTATACAACACAGAGGAGGAAGGGTTGGGAAGAGGCGGCGGGAGGGGGGGATGATGGCTTGAAGGCTAGGTTAGGGGTGAGGTAAGCATTGGATCACAGGAGATATACAGACAGGGGAAGGTTTGGTAAGGGATAACACCTAGGATGCTGAATGGAGTCAAGAGGCAACCTCTGCACTGTAGTTGGGTCTAAAGTAATATTGTAGACTGAAACAAAAGCATTATTTGTGGAAGTCAGGGAACAAAAAAAATTCCAACTAGATTTTTATCTGAAGGATAAAATTAGATGTACATGTGTTTAGTGCAAGGGAACCTTTGAAAAAACATTATTTCAGATTTTTCTCTTTTGGTGTCTTGACTTTGAAATTCTAGGTCTAAAGAGCCTATCATTTTGAGGAGGCTTTAGTTGAGCAAAGTTTTGAATGTTTGTATACATGTACAGGGATGTATGCAGATGCATGCATTGAAAGTTGGTATGTAATCATAGTACAAAGATGCTAATTTTTGAAAATGAAAAAGTGTAATCCTATCGCACTTCCAGTTTCCGGTTTTCCGGCCGACCCTAATTTTTCGGCGCAATTCTAAAAATTTTCATCAAAATTCGGAAAAAAAATTAAATTCTTTTTAAAAATCCTGCTGTCTTTTCTTTCAAAACAAACACCTGTCAACAACTTCTTTCCATGTCAAAACATTTACATTTACCTGACTAGCATTGTGCAAGTGTGAATTGTAGTTAATTGCTGATCATATTTCCACATATATTCTGATAAGTTTTCATTGTAATCACTTTTGTGGCAATTTTAGTCAACTTTCGTCACATTCAATCAGCACAAAAATTGTCAAAAAATCCTTACCTACTGACCCTATTTAATTGGAAGCAGAGCTTTTTTTTTCTTGGCCCAATCATGTGCTTCTCAGTGTCAATTTGTCGTAAGACCCAGCATGGGCAATACTTATCATGTCACAGTTATATGCGTTGCAAAACACGTAAGCTTCTCTCGGACAAGACCTTGTAATTAAGGCCCATTTTTGTGGTGTATTTGTCCCTGAACTTCTGCTCAACTTGTTGCTACTGTGCAAAACAGTCCAGTTGCTCACCAAATATCCAAGAATCAACTCCTTGACAGTTCCTCCACTCTGGTCAACTTTAACATGATAATGATGTTCAACACACATGCGTACCATATCAGTACACATACGATTCATAGACATACACAATCACATTGCATATAAAGTGCAATCTTGCCTATTCGCCCCCGTTCATCACAGCATTAAATGGAGCCAATGGATGATTCAACCACGCTGGTTTCTACCGCTACTCACGCAGCTTGTACGCACAAACTGCAGGATGCCAGTAACACATTTCTGACGCGCACATTACGAGGCTGGGTCCGTGTTACATGTGTAGCTTACGTCAAGTTTATACACCACTGTATGGTTTTTTTACCTTTGAGTTGGAAATCGCAAAAATCTTAGTCTGGATTGTACAGTCGTAAACGGACAACACAAATTGTAAAATTTATGCCTAAATCGTACAGGTTGGCATCTCTGATGGTACATATACATGCCACATTAAACTGACCAACTGCAAATCTTTCCACATTAAGCAGAAAGGGTAAAGTCACTGTCACATGCCAAAGCCAGGAACAAGGTTCCTACATGTGCATCCCCCCCAACCACCAACTGGAAATAAAACAAATGTGAACACATAACCGTACCATGTGCACGCGGGAAATGTTGACAGACTGCTGAGGAAAGAGAAACCGGAACTCTTTCCCACAAACTCCAGTCAATCTTAATTAGAAACTCCTCAATTAAGGAGTGTCTGTCCTATCTAACCCCCCAAGGATCATGTCGCAAGATGACTAATCCATGCGCTGGGGTAGTTGTACATACATGTATATAAAGCCTCTTTCCCTTTTTTGGTGTGTGCTGTGGGTTTTTTTAAAGGCAAACTACGCCCACAAATAGAGTGCACTGGCATGGCGCCCCCCCTTTCCTTTCACATAGACGGTTCAGACAGCTTTGAAATTTTCATCTTCTTTTGAATTCTGTTCAAGAGTGCACAGGCACTGACTGAAATGTGCCAAAGCTCATTTGAAACATGTTACCTGAAAGAGGAGGGGGCATGGCCCAGTCTTTGAGAGGCTCAAGGATAGGAGACCACATTAATGAGGCTCTTCTGTAAACTGGTCTTCATAGGCCAGCGGCATGCCCATACAGGCTTATGTTGGAATAAGATGTTCCATTTAAGTGTGGTTTACTTTAGCAGTGCATCACTCAGAAGGGTCTACCATTACTCTCCATGATGGCAACAACCTGTTGACTTGTTCGTTGTTGTACCTACATGCAGATTACTCCAATAATCATGCTGATTTTTTTTCCCAGCAAGATTTTTTTACTTTCTGAAAGCCAAAACCTTTCCCACACCTTTCATACAAAGTAAACCCCCTTTCGATTTTCTTATTGTAAAATTTTTAGTTATTTTTTCCTCACACCTGCTTCTTTATCCAGTGGGAAAGCATGCCCAAAATAATTACCAAGTTGATAGACTGTCTGGAATGTGGTTTCTGTATCATCAGTGCAACAATGGTATCTTGCAATCTTTCTCAGCATGATCATCATGTGCTCTTGACAGTGTTTGAACTTTCGATTTCGCAAAGGCAAAAAATGGAACAGTTGGGCCCTTCTGCACCTTGTGTCCCACCCTCATGACAAGAGAGGCCCGATCAGCCAACTGCAGGGGCTAATTTCAGTTCCCAACGGATTTCTCTGAGAGAACTGAGCTGTCTACCAGGTGTTCAGACTTTGAAAATGAAAAGTATACATTTTCAACTGTAATGAGACAAAAAAAAAAAATGGCGCTGTGCATTAAAAAGATGTGAAGGTTGACTCCGGTTACAATCCGAGATTAGTCACGGAGTTCACATGCTGGGTGAATCAGGAAAACAAATCATGTTTGAGTGAGGGCAGCTGATACTGTCAATGAAAACCTTTTTAGAGCCCATTTATGAGCTGTTGGGTCCCACCATGTTTCGCATCACATCAGAGCTACGTGCAACAACAATTGAAAGCAAACCAAATGAGGGTGAATTGGTGAATTTGAGATGACACATGGAAGTTTGTGGCAAGAAGACTTCAAAACTACAGTACCACTGGAGATTTGAATCGGCTGGTGGTTGAAGAGGGGAATAGACAGTGCAACTGTCCATGCAGTTACGCATTTAGCTTAACAATGTTGATAGTGACACAGGCAATTTAACAAGTGTCAAAACTTGTTCGGAATAATTACATACATGTACAACAGGTCCTCAGATACGTACAAAAACTTAAGAAATCCAGAAATATTGAAGTGAATACTAATTAAATTTTCCTAGGGTTTCTGTCTGGAGCCACCTCCTGCATCTAACCAGCGGCACGTCCTCTTACCCCATTCTATTTTTTTCAGGCAGATTACAAGAGGGGGGAGTAGAACCCACCTACTCCTAATACTCACAGTCTTTTGACATCCCCACTTCGAAGCACTTCTGGAACCGGCAGTACTGACAGCGATTTCTGGTGACTTTGTTTATGACACACTTTTTGTCTCGGTGGCATGTGTATTGCATGTTTTTTTGTACACTACGTCTAAAGAAACCCTGCATTGGAAAAATAAAAGGGGTAGAGGGAGAAAAAAATTCCAAGTCAACAATCCAATATCTGCACTCATGGGGGAATTGTTTTCTTATCAAGAAATATACGGCTTGGGCTCAAAGTTCCAAGTCTCAATTCCAAAAGCTAAATATCTGGAGATTCCAGATGGCAGACAAAGTGGAAAAGTTCTAGCGGATTAAAGAGATGGAAGGAACCCACCTTCACTCCACTACAATTTCACTGTACTCCACTGATGAACAAAATGGTCAATTTCAATCTTGCTTTATCGGTCTGCTGAAAGCGCCTTGTGTCAGCAGATACAAATTTTAAACAATCAGTTTTGCTCTTCACAGAACAATCTGTCCAAGAGCCCAATTAGGCTTATCTACTCGGATATCTCAACCACTTATTAATTAGTTCAACTTTGAGTGGTAAATAAAGATCCCCCCCCCAGATTATCTTGGTTAAAAATCTTGCCCACGGACTTACTTTGCAACCCTCGCAGGCACTGACGCCATAGTGGTATCCTGAGGACTTGTCTTGGCAGACGAAGCAGGGTTTGTAGACCCTAGGAGGGGGTGATGGAGACTCACAGGAACTTGTGGGAAGACTAGACATAGGGGCTTGCTGTAACGCCACAGGAACTGGCATCTCGGAGGGCATTGTATACTGCATATAGCCTGAGTCTAGGAGGAAAACCAACATAAACCACAAAAGAAAGTCAATTATCCATCTGATCAGGATGTGTTGAATGCGATATGTCCACAAGTCACATGACCTACTGGTACATGTCTACTGAACTAATCAATAATAGATCAATGAGTCAATTACAGGATTAAAGTTTTTTTCTCTGATGAATCAAAACCACTTTGTTAAAAAAGAGGATTTCTTTGCAGAAGATACAGACGACTATAAAAAATCACAAACACTCCATTTGCATTTTCAAAAGAAATGTGGGACGAACGGAGAAACACACCTACGTGTACTTTGGACAAATGGATGGACAACACAAAAAGAACATCCAAACTAAAATTCAAAATGGAATGGTTAATCAAACCTAAAATATCAGTGTAAACTTGTGGACCCGATAAATTTCATGCAAGAACCATACCATTATGTTCTCTTTCTTTTTTTAGTCTAACTTCTGTTCTCCAAAGCATAAAACTATTTCAAGGGCTCAACTTTTTCTAACTACAAGTTGACGTATAAAAGCAATTAATCAAAAAAGATACATATGCAAGTAAACGGTCTCCCATGGTAAAATTTCCATTTCCATTTTCCTTGTATGCTGAGGTGGTGGTACCCTTCTGCTCTTTCAAAGGAAAATAATTAAAAAAAACAACATTTTCATAAATTTGAAAGGGTCTCTCTCCTTCAAGCCAAAGGTACACAGAGTGCATTTTGGAAATATTCCCCACTGGTTGCCACAGGCTCGACCATTACAGTTCAAGTGTACTTACCAAATGCCAAAAGTTCATGAAAAAAATATACACTGTACTGAACAGAATGTGCATGGTAAGTGGTGTCGTGTAATTTCATAAGACCCTCAGGAGATAGTGAGGTGAGGTGAGGAAATTCATTAAGACCTGCAACTTGCTTCTGTCAAGGTGTGACTGACAATCTTAGATGGTCGTAAATTAACAAGAACATGGCCTGAGCTCTGAGCGGCTGTCTTCAGGCCACCTTGGAGCATGAAAACAGTGGTGAGATTGGAAGAAAATGAAATATCCAGGAAATAATCACTAGAGATTTTGAGGGCCCTACAGCAGCATAGGGTCTCTAGTATGGTTTGTGTACATGTTTCAGTGCCCCTTAAAATACCCATTTCTTGTGCTCAAAATTTACTTACTTTTATACATAAATACACCTCCATGGTAAATTTTCAAAGAGATTGTTTGAAAAATCCTGACATCAGGGAAAAATCCTGACAAATCTCACCGTTGAGGAAAACAGCCCCAGTAGCAAACGCCTGAAAGTGATTTCAGAATCTCCCATAGCAAAGTTCATTCGGATGGTCCATTTATGAAAATATTTTAAAATCATAACCTCAACTAACCTTGAAAAAAATCCAACTTTATACCTCAAACACTGGTTATGCATGATAGTAGGGAAAAAAAGCAAAACAGCCCGAGACAGAAAACGAATCTTGAAACTAAGAGCTGTACTTGCATAATATACCGCAGCCTTGAACACAATGCGAATACCACATGTCGAAACATTTACAATGCAGCAACCTAATTAGAAGCTACTACAGCTTCCTGTAACTTTTTAAATTAAATGATTTCAAACTAGCATGGAGCTAAAACAAAAATCCCAAACTTGGGCAACACAACAAATGATAATTTGAGTCTCTCAGAGGTACATGTAACCGGTACCCAGTATGTAAAGAGTTAAAAACTGTACTAAGACAAATGAAGTGTACAATTGCATATATCTGTAAACCAACTTGCAAAACACTGAGCTCACATACATGTTCATTGTACATGTGGTGTTTAAACCACTTCCAAATGATATGTGGGTGTACATGTACATGTAATTACTGGTACATCATTTGCTAATGCCTGAATGTCATTTATGCACCAGTTTGGTATTTGTTTCAGCTTCAGAAATCACAAAGT